CCGGTCCCCAGGCTTAAGGGTTCCGCACAGGGACCGCTGGGCTGCTTTGGATCCAGGCTCTGCTGCTCACACCGGTGCCTCAGTTTCCCCTCGGTGGAAGCAGCCCTCCAAGACGAGGGCGGTTCTGCTGGGAGCGTTGTGAGGGTGGGCCTCCGTGTGTCTGGCTGAGTCCAATGGACGGGGCCTCCGGGGGCGGAGCTGACGAGCTGCGTGTGACGGCGGGTCTTCTCTCCTCTTCAGGGCGAGAAGGGCCCACAAGGCCCCGCTGGTCGCGATGGTCTCCAGGGTCCGGTGGGGCTCCCCGGCCCGGCCGGCCCCGTGGGCCCCCCCGGAGAAGACGGCGATAAGGTAAGGAGAGCCGAGGCCCCTCCTGCCCCCAGCGGTGCCGGCCGCTGGCCAGTGCCCGGAGGCCGGAGCAGGGCGGCCACTTTAGACACAGGGGCTCCAGGGGCAGGGCGACCTCGCCCTCCCTCCGAGTTCAGGGGTGATCTCGGAATAGCTCACGCTGAGTGGTGATAAGCGAGTCAGTGCCCTTTCGTGTATGAGACGTCCTCATCAGTATTATAAGTTATTAACGAGCTCGCGGGAGCTTGGGGCCAGCTTCCCTCTCGCGCCGGGTCCAGGCCGCTGGGGGGAGCGAGCGGGGAGTTCACGCCCCCCGGTTCACTGGGCTTCACTCGGCGGCTGGGTCACGACCTCCCTGGAAGGATTAGCCGCCCACTCACTAGGCCAGTGATGGCGAACCTTTTGAGCTCGGCGTGTCAGCATTTTGAAAAACCCTAACTTAACTCTGGTGCCGGTCACATATAGAAATTTTTTGATATTTGCAACCATAGTCAAACAAAGACTTACATTTTTGATATTGATTTTATATATTTAAATGCCATTTAACAAAGAAAAATCAACCAAAAAAATGAGTTCGCGTGTCACCTCTGACACGCGTGTCAGAGGTTCGCCATCGCTGCACTAGGGCCACGGCTTCTGATCGGTGCTGTGACCGTGGCCAGCGCTGGCAGCTGAGACATTGATCCCACGCTGTGCTGTGGCGCTGGCAGCTGATACATTGTTTAATGAAGACGCTGGGTTCAGCTCTTCAGCCCGGGTGACATGGCCGAGGGCGTCAGCTCGCTGCAGACGGTGCCACGTGTCCGAGGTGGAGCCGGCCGCCCGCGGGGACCCGGGGGGACGGGGGGACTCTGCAAGCGTAGAATCGAGGTGTCCGCTGCTGTCAGACACCCTGACAAGCGGAGTAAATGTTTTCGTTGGGATTTCACCGCCTTGTCCAATCGGCTCAGGGTCTGTGTAGCGTCAGATGGGGCCTCGCCGCTTTCAACTCTCATATTAAACAGGAAATAAAATGAACACACGGAAGCGGTTCCTCCTGGGAACCCTGTGCACAGGCGTTACTCTTAGGCGCCAAGATAAATGAACCGCGGGGAGCAGATCAGACCCGAATGGTCTGGGGCTGACGGATCTCCCACCCCTTCCCACAGGGAGAGATCGGGGAGCCGGGGCAGAAGGGGAGCAAGGGCGACAAAGGAGAGCAGGTAAGGCCCCCGCGGCGGGGACGGAGCCGATGACCCGGGCGCCCCGCCTGCTCCGCCGGCCTCTCTCCCGGGGCCGCAGCCGTGACTCCGGAGGCAACCGTGTCTGTCTGTTCCCACAGGGTCCGCCGGGGCCCACGGGACCTCAAGGCCCCATCGGGCAGCCGGGCCCCTCGGTGAGTATCTGCGGCCCCGGCCGCTCAGACCCCCGACCCCTCCGCCGTGGGCAGCAGGAGGCAGTCCTCACCTCGCCCTTTGTGTCCCCACAGGGAGCGGACGGAGAGCCGGGGCCCCGGGGCCAGCAGGGCCTTTTCGGGCAGAAGGGTGACGAAGGCCCCAGAGGTTTCCCCGGGCCCCCTGGACCCGTGGGGCTGCAGGTAACTGGGGAGTGTGGACGGTGGGGTCCACTTCAGTGCCCGCGCTCTGCTGTCTCCCCGCCCTGCTCAGCCCTCCCCTGCCCTGCCTCCCTCCCCAGCCCTGCCTCCCCTCCCCTCTGTCTTTGTGAGAATGGGGGAACCAAGCCTGGCTGCAGGGGCCTCTGGGGCTCCCCATACACTGGAATGGCTGCAAAGTCCCACACTCCCAGAGGTGCCCGCATTGACGTTACGCCGTGACACTTACTTCCGTGGCCGTAGTAGGAACATTGGAAAGTGCTGGCAAATTGTACGGAAACAGCAGTGACCGCTCAGCATACACTGGGAAGGCCAGCTGTGCACACGGGGCACATGTCATGGCCACGCCTTCCGCGTGTGCGTGTCACACACAGATGCACACGGGTGACTTCATTTGGTTTCTGCAAAGCGGAATCCCGTCGTGCGGGGGGGGAGCTTGGGCCCAGCTGCCCCCTTCCTTGCACGTCCGTGTCGTGTTGATGCCACGGAATGTTCTCCGAAGGCGTCGTGGTGCCTTTGTCCCTGCGGCCGTGGGGTGTGGTCACTGCGTCGTGTCCGGCGCGTGGCGGTGCCTGATGAACCCGCACCCTCCGCCGCCGTCGGCTCGCAGGTCTCCTGTTTGGGGGGATCGCAGTGAACCTGTGTCCATCCTTCTTCGCCGGTTCCTCTCATTCCTTCCTGGGCCGACTCGGGCCGAGTCACAGGGTGTCCTCGTGTTTAGCGATGCGCTTAGACGCACATCCCGAGGCCCCTGCCTGGCCGGGCGGTGCTGGGAGTCAGTCGCCGGGGGTGCGGCCGGGCGTGCTGCCCTGCTCAGCCCCCTCCTGTTCGCAGGGTCTGCCGGGGCCTCTGGGAGAGAAGGGCGAGACGGGAGACGTGGGTCAGATGGTAAGTGCTGGGACCTGGCCGGGCGGCCGGCTTCGATGTCGGCCAAGTCGGCATTTCTCCCGTGTCCAATGCTCTCTGTCTCCTAGGGCCCTCCAGGCCCCCCCCGGCCCCCGAGGAAACCCTCTGGAGCGCCAGGTGCTGACGGGCCGCAAGGTCCCCCCGGAGGAATAGGCAACCCTGGAGCGGTGGGAGAGAAGGTGACTCCCGCCCCCGACGTCACCGTGTCCCAGGAGGGCGTGCGCACGTGTGCATGTGTGTGCACATGTGTGCGCGCGTGTGTGTGCACGTGTGTGCATGCGTGTGTGTGAAGAACCCGGGTGTTGGAGCCATTGCTCTCGGCCCCACATGACCGCGTTTCCTCCTCAGGGCGAGCCTGGTGAAGCTGGAGAGCCTGGCCTTCCCGGAGAAGGGGGCCCCCCGGTGAGTGAGTGGGCTGGGGGGGCACCATGCACGGCGGCGGTGGGGGGGGAGCTCCCGCTCTGCCTCGGTTCTCCCATCCAGGAATCGGAGCCACGGGTCCTCTTGTGCCTACCTCACGGGGCGCTGCAAAAAAGAGGGCGTGTGTGTGTGCGTGTGTAGATGTTCGTGTGTGTGTGTGCACCCATGTGCATGTATGTGCATGTGTGGGTGTGTGCAGACAGATGTTAGCACATGTGACTGGCGGCTGCCGGTGGCTGGGTGGCCGTGGTGTTCCGGGCCCTTCCACGGGCTGCGGTAACTGTGGGCAGTGTCCCCTCCGCAGCCCCGAGAGGGACTGCTCAGACCTCTACGGTCAGGCGTGAACTCCCTCGGGCTGCGGGGGGTCTTTGGGGCCCAGGAGGCAGCTGGTGGGCAGAGGTCTCCTTGGCATCCAGCTGCTCCCCCCCCCCCGCCCCATGAACCCCAGAGAAGGGGCCCCTCAGGGTCCATGCTGCCCACCGTCTGGTCCAGGCCGGTCCCTCCCCCAGAGGCAGTTGCAGCCTCTGAGGCCCCAGAAAGCCAGTGGCTCCTTGGGGAGCTGCCCAGCCCCTGAGGCCCAGCCCCCACCCCCCACCGGGCCCACTGAGCCGGGGAGTGGGGGGGACCGTGTGCCACCCAGGGCCCCGCGGGCCAGCGCCTGGCTCTGGGAAGCTGCGCATCGCTCTGGGCTCATGGCGCGGCCTTCCCTGCAGGGACCCAAAGGCGAGAGGGGGGAGAAGGGCGAGGCGGGCCCTTCTGGTGCTGCTGGACCCCCTGGACCCAAAGGCCCGCCCGGCGACGACGGCCCCAAAGGCAGCCCCGTGAGTAGCTGAGCCGCAGCGGCGCCCGAGGCTGGGCAGGGGCTCTGGTCCGGACCCCCTCGATCATCCTGCGTCGGGTCCCGGGGAAGCGCCTGGAGGTTCTCACCCGACCCCGAGCCCAGGCAGGGGAGCTGAGTGGGCAGGGAGCGGGCAGGGAGGGCGCCGTGCCCACGTGCCCACGCCCCCTCCTGCTGCCGCCCTGGCTCAGCGTCGGAGAGGCTCCTGAGCTGCATGTGCGAGAAGCCAGGTTCCAGCCGGGAGCTCAGACGGAAGGGGCGGCCTCCGGGGAGCGAGGGCACGGGCTCTGGCCGCCCGCCCCAGGCTCGTGTGGGACTCGGATGACGCCCAGGAAGGGCTCCCGGGGCGAAGGGCATGGCGGCCTCAGAGGCGCAGGCTGCTCCAGGGGCGGGGGCGGGGGTGGCCTTCAGTGCTGGCGGGCAGGGTGCGCTCGGCCAGGGCTGAGGGCCTGCACGCGCCTCTTTCTCCGTTTCAGGGCCCCGTCGGTTTCCCCGGAGATCCCGGTCCCCCCGGAGAGCCCGGCCCCGCGGTAGGTGTTTGAGGCCCTGAGCCTTCCATCCCCCCCGATGCTGACCTGCCTCTGCAGCCCGTGCTTTCTTTCCGGGGGGTTATTCGTGAGCTCCCCGTGGGGCACGGTGCCCTCCCACTGTCTGGGGTCAGATGCAGACGCGGTCCCAGCTTTGAGCGCGCTGTGTCCCGCCCACCCGATGGGCTTGGATTTGGGGGACGGGACTCAGGTGCCGTCCGGAGGCTGAAGGAACTTGCTTTTGTCCCCACAGGGTCAGGATGGTCCCCCTGGTGACAAAGGGGACGACGGCGAGGCCGGGCAGACGGTGAGTGCGCCGTGACCTTTGGGGTCACAGTGACGGGCGCCTGGGTTCTTAGGATTTGCAACTTGTTCTGTTCATCTCTCTCTCTTTTTAATAAGCTGTTATTGATTTTAGAAAGACAGGAAGGGAGAGAGAGAGAGAAACGTTGATATGAGGGAGAAACATCTATCAGCTGCCTCCCGCACGCCCCCCACTGGGGATCGAGCCTGCAGCCCGGGCCTGTGTCCTGACCGGGAATCGAACCCGGGACCCTTCAGTCCGCAGGCCGATGTGCTACCCACTGAGCAACCGGCCAGGGCAGGGGGGCTATTCCTGCTGGGCCGGGTCCTGTCCCTCCTGGAAGGGGCTCTCCCGTCGGCCCCTGGCTGAGCTCACATGGAGGCTGCCTCCTGCCCTGTACGGAGGGTTTGGAACGCTGTTCCCCGCTGAGTCCCTGCGAGGAGGGTCAGTGCCCGAGTCCCCCGCAGCTCTCCCTCCCTGAGGACTTAATGTACTATGGGGAAACTTAAAAATTTTAGAAGACTTCATATGCTGTCCATATCATACATATGTTGGACCATATCGTATACGGATTTCCTCTTATGTTATGGGAAATTAACGAGAAAGTAACCACTGGGACCACCTCGATTAAAAACGTTCTGCC